TGCCTAAGTGGGCGCTTTAGTCCACTGAGCTATCTCACCAGCCCTGGAGTTTTTTGTTTCTTTCTTTTTAAGATACTTTTTTTGGGCTGGGGAGATGGCTCAGTAGAATAAGCACTTCATTGGCAAGCGCAAGGTCCTGAGTTCAAACCACGGTTCTGAAAAAAAACCTTTTTTTCCTACTGGATAGTGCCATGGATTGAATCCAGACCCTTTTACATGCCAGGAAAGTGACACTGAGCCACACCCTCAGCATAAGAATAGTTTTGGATGATCATTAACCCTGTGATTTGAGTTTCATGTAATGATTCAGGATAAATTCAGAGGGTCCTTCAGCCCATGAACATATTGATAAAGTAAAAAGCAGAATAGCACTGATTCTGAACTCCATCTCCTTGTGTAGTAGGAATATATGTTCATTCTCAGCTAGGCAAACTAATTGGAGAAAAACTCCTGTCCATCCTTTCAATAGACTCATCTCCTAAAGTTTCTTGTTTTCTTTCTTGGGTGGTTGCTTGTCACTCTGTAGTTCAGCCAAGAAGCAGGTGAGCACCTAGAGTCTGTGCTGATTAGAAATGAAGGCAAGGGCCAGCCAAATAGCTCAGTGGATTAAAATGCCTGCAAGCAGGTGCAGGAGCCAGGAACGATCCCCACGCCTGCCCCATCCCCGGGGTGCACTGAGACCAGCAGTTGAGGCTGGGTGTGGTGGCGCGTGCCTGTAATCCCAGCTCTTGAGAGGCTGTAAGTAGGCGGATCACTATGAGTCTGATCTAGTAATGAGACCCTGAACACCCTGTAGACCCTTCCCTAAAATCCAAACAAAGAAAGAAAAAAATGAAGGCAAAATCAAACTTCCACAAACACATTTTTATGAAAGATGAGGTGATCAGCGAAAGGCTTCTAAGCATAAAGATACGTTTTATTCTGTGAGCCAAGTAGAAATGAAAACAGAAGTTTAGCGTGAATCGGGAATGACACAAGAATTCCAGCTTTCAAAGAACTTGTTCATGTAACTTTTATTTATTTATTTATTTATTTATTTATTTTTTGGCGGAACCAGGGATTGAACTCAGGCTCTTGCGCTCACCAGGTCCACTGAGCCATCTCCCCGGCCCTCATGTAACTTTTAAGTGAATGTTGGTAGGCTTTTCATTGCTAGCATTCTGAGATTCCATTAGAGACATGCAGGGATGAAGGAAAAATTTATTTCAAAATACCAGCATTTTCAGTAGTCTGGTAATTACATCTTTCGCATTTACTGATGCATTTCACATATCTATTCAGGAAAGTGCCAAGGGGTGCATAGTTGTGAGAAATGAAGGGAGTAGGCAAGTGAAATATTTTCAGGAATGTTTGGCTGGGCGTGGTCGCACTGGCTTGTAATTCCAGCACTCAGGAGGCTGAGGCAAGAGGATGCTCTTGAGTTCTAGGCCAGCCTGAGCTACATATCAAAGGCTAGCCTGGACTACATAGTAAGTCCCTTTTTCCAAAAATAAAACAAGAATTGTGTGGCCATGTTTGTGGAGGGAACGCAGTGAGTGAGGGTGGGATATGGACTGAAGACCGACGAGAAGAGGGCACCACTCCTGGGGCAGAATTCTAGGAGGACCCAGGCAGGGGTCCACTAAGGAGCCCCACAGGGGACGTAGGTTAAAGGAGTGGGGAGTGGGACTCGGTTTCTGCTGAGATTGGAGACAGGCTGGGCAGTGGCCAGCGGTGCATTTGTGTGGCTGTAGCAACATGCTGGTGCTTGTACTCGGGAGAACGCCTCTGGTTGCTCCACGTTGGACGTGGAGAGCTTGGTGCCGGCACCTGCTGGTCTCTGGCGAGCGCCTGTGCTCACATCACAGATGAGCGTGGAAGAGAAGCAGTGGGCCCCTAGCTGCGTGCGAAGCGAGGCATCGGGCCAGCCGCCCCTTTGTGACCTCCAGCTTCCTCCAGCTCACAGGGCAGAGCTCTAACCTGGTACCTGTGCCTGCAGCGTCTCAGTGCTGTTGCCCTGGGACCAAGCTTCCCAGCACCAGCCTCTGGGGCCCACGCTCCAGCACCCCCAGCACAGCAGGGCAGAGTCGGAGCCTTCCAGCGGAACAGAGGAAGGACAGTGTCTGTGTGGCTGACTCTTGTCTTTTCCTGGAGAACAGCATAGTGTCCAGAGAGCGAAGAGGGAGCTGCCCTCAGTCCTGGGAAGATTGTGCAAGGCTACACCAAGGGCTGGGCCAGCACTCTGGGAAGGTTAGGGCTGCGCTGTGTTCCATCCACTTCTAGTAACTCCACTGGGCTGTCAGGGTGGAATTAAAGATCGCCCAGCCTCACCAAGAACCTATCTCGAGGCCATAGAGCAGTGATGGCGAACCTTTTAGTGCTTTCAATGAAAACAAACAGCCGGTAATGGCACACGTGTGCCATGGTTCACCACTACTCATAGATCGTCCGCCTTCAGCCTGGTAGGTCAGTCTGAGTTCTCAGGGCCAAGATCCGAGTTAGACTGGGAAGGAAGAGACAGAGTAGAAGAGTATGGTGGGGATGAGGCTTCGCAAGGGCAGGGCAATGTCTGTTTCTTGTCTTGCTTTCCTGGTTTCCTTTTTTCCCCAAAAAACATACTCATCCCCTTCTGACATACATGATGGTTTATCATGTGTTGTTTTATGGAATATGTGTGCTTTGTTCATGACACCATACGGTGTATAGTTAGTGCCCAGTGTTGATAATCACTCAGTGAATTATTATGTGTGTGGTTTATTCAGGTATTGTTTCCCCAACTGAAGAGGTGGTTTTCAGCATAGAAGGGAGTCAATGACCCATCTGTCCACACAGAAGAAAATAGCCCCCTGCCTCACACCTCATACGAAATAGAACTAACTTTCAGGAATATTGAAGGCCTAAATACTAAGAAGACATTGAATCTGCTAGATCAGATGAACCATCTAGGACCAGAAGAGGCCTGAGATAAAAAAGAAAAGCCAGGAGCCAGAAAAAAGTGACACAGTTTTGGCAAATCGATAAGACAACATAACTGAAACTGAGTCAGAGCCATACATTTGCAGCTCACAAATCAAATCTTAGAGAACAGTGAGTGAAGGGAAGCACAATCAAGCTTAATTTAATTAACCCTGGGTAGTGGAATTAAAGTACCAGTCAGTTATCACTTCAGATTCGACTGAAGAAAGTGAAAATAAGCAGCATGTCTCTTGCTGGGAGCAGCAAGGGGAAAGGATGGCGTCCTACAGACCGGCAGAAGTAGGCGCCGTCCCCACATTATTGAAATGTGGTCTGATATAACTGCCACCAAATTCAAAAGTATATGGCCTTGTGACTGCAGTCCCACTGCCGGGAATCTCAGGGGAATGAAGCCACTATTTTGTAGTTAGAGACACAGACAAACAGCTGTTCATTGCGGTCAGTGAGCAGGAAGTGGGTGGGCTTCCCTGGAGGAGTGATCGAGTGGGTCACATGTTACCTTCATGACGGAATGTCCACAGTGTCCCAAGAGAAGACAGGGGCATGATGCAGTCTTACTGGAGGGGTTTCTACACGATACTTGGACATAAGGAACATGAGGGGGGTTTCGTTGGACGTCAGTAACAGCCAAGTGAAAATGTAAGTGTGTTACAAAGAACTACAGAATCCTGGAGAAGAGTCCTCTATTGATTAGTGGGTTTTCCTTGAGTGGTCTTAATGGTGAAATGGGAGGAGGAAAGAGAAGGCAGATTGAAAGGAAAGGCCAGGCGTGGTAGCACACACCTGTAATCTCAGCACTGGGAGGCTGAGGCAAGAGGATCACTGTGAATTCGAGACCAACCTTGGCTACCGAGTGAGTTCAAGGCCAGCCTGAACTGCACAGGGAGACCCTGTCTCAAAAAGAAAAAAATCCTGTTTATGTAAAATGGTTCCTAGATGTGTAATTATGTGCATGAAGATAATATATGGAACTGTGAGCAACTTTAAAAACATAAATTTGGGGACCGGGAAGCTGGCTCAGTAGGATAAGCGCTTGACTGGCAAACTCAAGGATCTGAGTTCAATCCCCGGTTCCGCAAGAAAAAAAAAAAACCCATAAATTTGGGGGTGGTAACCCAAGCCGGTGGTCCCAGCACTCAGGAGGCTAAGGCGAGGCTCACTGAGTTTGAGGCCAGCCTGGGCTACAGAGCAAGACTCTTATCTCAAGAAAACAAATTTGAAGGCAGTGTACAATAGAACTCTGCTTAGCTTAAGACATTGCTGCTGCCCAGGTGTTCCTGCTTGTGAGCACAGGCCAGGTAGAGAGCCGGGGAGGGCTCTGTCTGTCCAGCACCTTGGAGGTGGACTGAGGGGCAGGGAAAGTGGCAGGGAGACTGCTGCCCCCTTTTATTCACCTCCAGAGAGTAAGCCAGTGAGAGGGAGGCTGTGGGGGCTCCTGCTGTCTAATGTGGGAAGAGAAAGAAGCGTTTTGTAGAAAATGGTAAGAGCCAGGTGTGGTGGCGCACACCTGTAATCCCAGCACCCAGGAGGCTGAAGCAGGAGGATCCTTGCACATTCAAGGCCAGCCTGGACCACATAGTGAGACCCTATCTCAGAAAACACACACAAAAGAATTGTTTTTAAAATAATTGTGGGGGGGGCTGGTGAGATGGCTCAGTGGTCTAAAGCACCTACTTAGAACAAGCTTGGCAAAGCACAGGGACCGCGGTTCAATCCCCCAGCACCACATGCCAGCCTGCCCGCCCCCTGGTGGGCTGAGCTGGCCACACACACACACACACACACACACACACACATAAATAAATAAATAAATAAATAAATTTTAAAAAATAAAATAATTGTGGGGCTTGAGGAGAATCATCTTTGTGTCTGTCGTAACCTGAGTCCAGTTCGCATTGGTGTCCAAGGCTGTAAGCCTGAATGGTACTGGACACTCGCCCTCAGTTTTGCTTCCTCAGTTTCTGCTGTGAGTGAGCACTGTTAGCTGGGGAAGCCCAGGAGGGCGCAGGACTGACCGCATCTGATTTCTTCCTCCTGTCCCTCAGCGCACGATGGCATCGTGATTAAGATCGAGGTGCAGACCAATGACGAGGGCTCTGAGAGCCTGGAGACACCAGAGCCCCTGATGGGGCAGGTGGAGGAGCACGGCTTGCAGGACTCGGAGCTGGGCGACCCCTGTGGCGAGCAGCCCGACCTGGACATGCAGGAACAGGAGAACGCCCTGGAGGAGTCCACGGAGGGCTCAGGCGAGTTTAGCGAGCTCAAGCAGATGCTGGTGCAGCAGAGAAACTGCGCGGGTAAGTTCCTGCGAAGGGGGCCGCAGAGGTGGGTGCAGGTGGGGAGTGGGTTCCCGCCTCTGCCTCTAGCGAAATCCACCCTGGACTGGGAGAGGAGTTGTGATATAGAGACAGCTCGGGCGAGGACACGGATCTCCTGTCCTTGTCTGTGCGTCCCCTCCTCCAGGCTGGCGAGGTCACAGCAGGGAGCAGCACAGCTAGGACTGCCTGTTCCCACACGGCCTTGACCATCTCAGGTCACACTGGAGCTCAGCTCGCTTGCAGGTCTCCACCTTGGAGAGTGTGGGGTTTGCTTTTTCTTTTTTAGAGAGCATATTTTTAAAATACTAAGCTGCCTTTCTCTGGTTGAATCAAGTGTCATTTTTAAAACCTCAGTGTCATTGGGTGTGGTGACAGCACTTGGAAGTCTGAGCCAAGAGGATCGCGTGATCTGAAAGCCAGACTGAGCTGCAAGGGGAGAATCCTGTCTCAAAACAGAAGACAAATCAAACTTCTCATTGATGCCATTGTTGTTCCCACCTAGGACACCCTTAGGGATCACTTCCTGGTGCTGTGCAGTCCTGGGCAGAGCCCCAGTCAACGTTTGTTTGTTTGTTGTTGTTGTTGTTGTTTTTCTTTTTCTGGTACTGGGATTGAACCCAGGGCTTTCACAGTAAACTACATCCCCAGCCCTTTTTTTAAAATTTTCTATTTTGAAAGAAATGGAAATGTTGCTGAATTGTCCATCCTGGGGTCAGACTTCCATCCTCTTGCCTCTACCTGTCGGAATGCTGGGATTACAGGTGTGTGTCACACCTGGTTCATGACATATCTTTTATTGGTACTTTTTTTTTTGTACTGAGAATTGAACTCAGGATCTTGAGCTATATCCCCAGCCCATGATATAGTTTTTAAAAATACTATCAGACATAACAATTTTTTTTTTTTTTTTTTTTTGGAACCTGAGATTGAACTCAGGCCCTTACGCTTGCCAGGAAAGCGCTTATTCCACTGAGCCATCTCCCCAGCCCCCCATAACAAATATTTTATTCCAGAGTTTTACACTTACATTCATAAATGATTCTGAGGTGTTTTTGTTGTTGTTGTTGTTGTTGTTGTTGTTGTTTTTAGTACCGGGGATTAAACTCAGGACTTTGCCACTGAGCTATATCCCTGGCCCCTGAACTTTTATTTTAATTTGATTTAATTTAATTATATGTTTTGTCTTTTTGAGATAGGGCCTCGTTGTGCAGTTCAGGCTGGCCTTGAGCTCATTTTGTAGCTGAGGCTGGTCTCGAACTTGCAACAATCCTCCTGCCTCAGCCTCTGGAGTGCTGGGATTAAAGGCATGGACCACTATGCCGGGCTCTTCATTAATTTTAGAGAGTATTATTGTAGATTTATCAGATGAAATGGGCAGCTTTTGCTCTTGCTTTATACTCTGGAAACATACATATACACACATAAAATAGAAATTAATTCTTTGAAAATTTGATAGTACTCAGTTGGATTTTTATTTTTGCTTGTATATTTTATTTATATGTGGGTCATTACCCATCATATGTTTGTATTTTTATATTTGGAAATGTGTTCATATCCAGTTATTTAGGTTTTTCAAATTATTACTTTTTTTTTTTAATTTTTATTTGTGTGTGTGTGTGTGTGTGTGTGTGTGTGTGTGTGGCCAGCTCAGCCCACCAGGGGGCAGGGCTGGCTGGCATGTGGTGCTGGGGGATTGAACTGCAGTCCTTGTGCTTTGCTAAGCTTATTCTAAGTAGGTGCTTTAGACCACTGAGCCATCTCACCAGCCCACAAGTTATTACATTGTTTTAAATTTTTTATTTTATCTATAGATAATTGCCCTACAATTCACCTTTCTGCACCTAGTAAGATGTCATGGGTATCCTCCTTAGTCGAGTGATAGAGATCTACTTTCTTAATAAGCAAGTGCATGGTATTAACTTCAGAAGTCTTTAATATGCATATTTTCTTTCACAAAAGAATAGCAGGAAGACAAGGTAAATTCTGAATATAGGTAAGTCACAAGGGTCACATGAAAAACTCAAAGCGTACCTCCATTCTAGAAGCTTGAGAAATTACAAAACAGCCTGTGGAAGGGGAGTCTTGGATTTTAGGGCCAGATATTTCATCTGTACCATTTCATTAAGAAAAGAAAGCAACTTCAGTTCTCAAGAAGAATTTGGGTCTCCTGGCTTTTTTTCCCCGTGTTTCATGCACAGCCGTTTCCTGGATGAATGGCAGCCCCAGGCCTGCGCAGCCCGCCTCCCACTCCTGTGGCCGCAGCACTCAAGGACACCTTGGTCATTTCCTGCAGGAATCTGCCGCCTTGACTCCAAGCACCTTTGTCCCATTTCTGACACCATACTTCACAAGAGCGCTGTGGCCCAGGGGTCACCAGTGACTAAGGAAGGCCATGACCAGCTGACACACACGCTGGCCTCAGTTTTCCTGTCAGTGAGGGAGAGAGGAGATTGTCCCTAGACCACAGCTCTGCAGCAGCTACCATGTACTGGGAAGTGTCGCTTGCTCTGAGCTCCAGTGCTCAGCTGTGAGACACGGATACTTCCTGCTTGACTTAATTCTGAAAGAATGCGACAGGTGTAGCAGTGCTTTAGGAAAGTTCTTGCTGGTAACAGTGATGCAAAAGCAGGCCGTTATCTCACAGGTGGACAAGAAGTGACTTTCTCATGTCACACAAAGTCCTAATTACAGTGGACCTCCCAGCCAGGCATGGTGGTACACTCCTGTCATTCCCGCTGTCTAGCAGACTAAGGCAGAAAGAGGCTCCTAAGTTTGAGCCCAGCCTGGCAATAAAGTGACTTATTGAGAACTTGTCTCTAGTAACAAATAAAGGGCTGTATTAAAGCGCCTGCTCAGGCAGACGCAGGGGCCAGGAGTGCAATCCCCAGGCCTGCCGTGGTGGTACGCACCTATAATCCCAGCACTTGGGTGGCTGTAAACAGGAGGATCACTACGAGTCTGATCTACGCAGTGAGACCCTGTAGACCCTGTCCTAAAATACAAAAAATAAAGGGCTAAGGATGTAACTCAGTTGAAGGCCTTGGGTTTAGTCCCCAGTCCTACAAAAAACAAAAATCTCCCTAATTTTAAGGCATGCCAAATAAGTATAAGGCACCTGAAGAAAACCAAATGGCAGCAGAGGTGCTCCTTTTTTCCTCAGACATTCTTATTCTTGGCCTTGCTGGGCCAAACGGGTTGGGGGGGCGGTACTGGCCTCCGCCACTTGGGCATGTGGGCACTGACACAGGAGCTTGCAGGAAGGTGGGGTGAGCCCACCTGGTGCAAGCTGCCAGGCCGGGTGCGGCAGGTGGCCAAGGATGCACAGGCTGAGACCGGTGCTGGCCTGCTGGAGGCCCGGGGGGGGG